ATCTCTGTCTGTCAAATAAATAAATTTAAAAAAAATTATAAAAAAAAATTATAACTTTCCTAATAGTTAATGAAGTTTTCATACATTTATTGACCATTTAGATATTCTTTTTTATGATATCCTTAAATATTTAGCATCCTTACTTGATTTTTTTCTAACAAATCTAAAGGTAATCTAAAGGTAATCTAAAGGTCTCTATTCTCCACCCAATCTAGATAAGGAAGGACCTTAGCAATAACTATTGTTCCCTCCCGTAGTAGTTGTGTGCCTTCAAACAAGTCTCTTAACCTTATTTTGCTTCAGTTGTTTCTACATCTGTAAAATGAGGAAATAATAGTACTTAACTCAGAGTTGTTGTGAGAATTAAATGAGTTTAAATATTTAATACACTGAACAGTGCCTGGTAGGGAGTATTTACTATATGAATGTTAGTTATTATTATTGTTGTTGCTGTTGTTGGCAAAAGGATAGACAATATATATCAAGGGGACAGAACAGAGATTCAAGAAACAAACTGACACAAATATAGCTACTTAATTTTTGACAAGGGTGCAAAAGCAACTCAGTGAAGAAAGGATAGTTTTTTCAGCAAATGGTGTTGAATATACTGGATATACACTGGATATACATACCCAAAGGAGAAAAGAAAAGGAACTTGACCCATGCATTATACCTTATGTAAAAATTAATTCAAAATGAATCATAAATTAAATGTAAAACATAAAACTATAACTCCTTTATAGGAAAACATAGGAGAAAAATCTCTGTGGCCTGGGTTTGGCAAAGATTTCTTAGATAATACCATAGCACAATCCATACAAGGAAAAACTTAATAAATTAGACATTACCAAAATTTAAAAGTTTTCCTCTGTGAAAGACACCCATAAGAGAACTGAAAAGACAAGCCATAGACTTGGAGAAAATATTTCCAAATCACATATCTGACCAAGGACTTGAGGAATTTTAAAATATCAACAAAGATTTAAACAAATACTTCACTGAAGAAGACATGTGGATGACAAATAAGCACATACGAAGATGCTCGACATCATTATTCATTAAGGATATGCAAATTAAAACCACAGTGAGATACCACTGTACATCTACTAGAATGACTGAAATAAAACTAACAATACCAAGTGGTGACAATGATACAGTGCAAGTGAAACTGTCATATAATGCTAGTGGGAAAGCAAGATGGTACAATTTGGAAGGCAGCTTGGCAGTTTCTTACACATTTAAATAGATGTTTGCTACATGACCCTACTGAAATAAAAATATATGTTCAAACAAACATCTTTATGCAAAAGTATAGTAGCTTGGGCACCTGGGTGGCTCAGTTGGTTAAACAACTGCCTTCGGCTCAGGTCATGATCCTGGAGTCCCAGGATCAAGTCCCACATCAGGCCCTCTGCTCATCAGGGAGCTGGCTTCTCCCTCTGCCCCTCGCCCCTTTCATGCTCTCTCTCTCTCTCTCAAATAAATAAAATCTTAAAAAAAAAAGTATAGTAGCTTTAATCTAACAACCCCAAACTGGAAACAACCAAATGTCTCAGCTGGGGAATAAACAAAACTGTGGTACATCTGTAAAGTGGAATGTTACTCAGGAATAAAAAGAAACTGTTGATACATGCAGCAGTGTAGGTGAATGTCAGAAGCATTATGCTAAGTGAAAAAAGCCAGACTCAAAAGGCCACATGCTGTATGATTCCATTTATATGAAATTCTGGAAAAGGCCAAAAGTATAAGGATGGAGAATAGAGATGGAAAATAAACAATGGTTGCTAGCTATCAGTGCTTGGCTGCTAAGAGGCAGTATGAGGAAATTTTGGAAGGTGATGAAGTGTCACGTAAGTTGGTTATGGTGCTGTGACATATTTTTGTATTTGTCAAAACTTAAAGAACAGCACACACACAAGTAAATGAATATTACTATATAAATTAAAAATTTTTTTAAAGTAAAATCCTTCTTCGGTTAATTCCCTGAATATTACTTCTCTACTACTCCTGTATTTTTTCTTTTAGGACCCCTATTACTTTTATATTATGTACTCTTAATCTCTTCCAGTCTTATATTTCCTTATATTTTTCATTCCTTTATGTAATTAGATGAGTTTCTCAGTGTTATATTTCATTTCATTAATTGTGTTCAAAAAAGAATTTATCTTAAAATTTTTGAATTTTTCATTTTCCAAGGTTCCTTCTTGGTTTTCTGTTAGTGGTTCAGGAACCCCCTCCCTCAGAGATTTTGTTAATGTAGAGTCATTCACAGTGCCAAAGGATGATTTGGTCTAGGTCTTGTTTCAGAGATTTTCTCTGCTTCTTCTAACTAATTCTTGCTTCCAGATCTCAGTGCTTATTATGCCTGTGGTTTTAGCCTATACTTATTACTCTGTGTTGCTTTTATTTATTTATTTTGTCTATAGAAATCTTTATCTTTTTTTTTAAGATTTTATTTATTCATTTGACAGACAGAGATCACAAGTAGGCAGAGAGGCAGGCAGAAAGAGAGGGGAAGCAGGCTCCCCACTGAGCAGAGAGCCCAATGCGGGGCTTGATCCCAGGACCCCGGGACCACGACCTGAGCCGAATGCAGAGGCTTTAACCCACTGAGCCACCCAGGCACCCCAGGAATCTTTATCTTTTTTCCCATAGCTTTATTTATTTAATCTCTACACACTATGTGGGGCTCAAACTCATGACCCCAAGATCAAGAGTCACATGTTCTTCCAACTGAGCTGGCCAGGGGCCCCTAGAAATCTTTTTTATCTTATATTTGAGTATGACAGTGTCTTTTTAATATTTAAAAAATATGCATTTTACCTATCTTGCTTTTATCAATGATAAAGCATTTCATTATATTTCTGATATAATGATATTTCATTATAACACTCTGCCAGTGATTCTCAAGTGGGACAGTTTTGCCCCCCAGAATACATTTGCCTGGAGATGTCTTTCGTACAATGCATAGGACAATCCCTACAACAAATTATCTGATCCAAAAGATCAATAGTATTGATTGAGAAACCCTGCACTAAATAAAGAATATGGTATTTTTCATATGTAACATCATCATAAGTTATTTAATTGCCTTCCTTATATGCACTTAGAAGGTTTTTTCTTTGTATTATAAGTGTCACTTTGATAAATAGCCTTCTATAACATTTTGGTACCATTAATTCCCAAATGTACACATTTTCTGAACTCCTTGAGAGGCATTATCTTGGAAGCTGGAAATTACTTAGGAAACAACAAAAACATGGGAACAACAAAGTCTTTATAATGTCATATGTTTAGTGGAACTTATAATATGTTCACGCATAAACATATTGCATTAGTTTTAATTTTTTTTATTAACATATAATGTATTATTTGCTTTAGGGGTACAGGTCTATGGTTCATCAGTCTTACAAAATTCACAGCACTCACCATAGCACACACCTTCCCCAATGTCCATAACCCAACCACCCTATCCCCCCCCTCCCTTATCCCCCAGCAACCCTCAGTTTATTTCCTGAGATTAAGAGTCTCTTATGGTTTGTCTCCCTCCTCGGTCCCATATTGTTTCATTTTATTTAAATTCCAGTTAGTTAACTACAGTGTAATATTAGTTTCAGGTGTACAATTTAGCAATTCAACATTTCTATGCAACACCCAGCACTCATCACAAGTGCATCCTTAATTCCCATCACCTATTTAAACCATCCTCCCCTCTGGTCATCATCAGTTTGTTCTCTATAGTTTTATACCTTTAAACTCTTTTTTCCCAGGTACTATGCAGTTGACCCTTGAACAATATGTGTTTGAATTGTGCAGGTCCACTTATATGTAGATGATTTTCAACATAGTACAAGACTATTGATGTATTTTCTCCTCCTTATAATTTTCTTAATAACATTTTCTTTTCTCTAGTTTATTTATTGTAAGACTATAGTATGAAATACATAGAACATACAAAATATGTGTTAATCAACTGTTTATGTTATTGGTAAGGCTTCTGGTTAACAGTAGGCTGTTGTTTATATATGTATATACATAAGTAGTTAGGTGTTGGCAGAGTCAAAAATTATATCTGCATTTATGAGTGTGCACAGATTGGTACCCCTAATCCTCATGTTGTTTAAGGGTCAGCTGTACTACTAAATTGTTTTAAGGCCCTTTATGTTCTATACAGCTTTCTACAAAAGCTTCCTACAGCTTGCTTTATGGTTAGGTTTCACATTTCACAATCTTAAGGAATACTTGACCAACCTGACTATAAATACCTCATGCATTCTTTATTCTTAATTCTTTTCAGTATCTACTAGTATTAAGATGATTTGTAGTAGGGATAAGTTAATAGAAAAAAACAAGACTGACTTTAATCTGCTGCCTAATCTGTTTAGTTCCCTCTCTTACCTAGACCTCAATTTTTTCATCTGTAAAATGAAGGAGTTATACCACATAATTCCTATAGGCTTTTCCAATTTTAAACCTGTGATATGCTATTATTTTATATTGCTTTTATTTAGCTTTTGGCCGTGATCTTTTATTGTTCCTGGGATAAAATAGAGATAAAAACAAAGTTCCTCATATTTGTTCTTTATTACCCTCCATCTACCTTCTTATAGTGATTGATAATACAGATTTTATTGTCTTATTGAAGGACTGCAAAGACTGATACTGGAAAAATAATTTGAAAATTTACAGCTAGACTGGGAAAGGAGAAGGCTAGATTAAAAAAAAAAAAAAAGGAGGGGACACCTGTGCAAAAACAAACAAAATCTAGGTATCAAATTGAGGCAGGGTCAGATATATGCACCCTGGGCCCTAATAACCATGAGACCTTGTGTTGAAATTTGTTAGAATTGCACAGGAGCCTAGAATTCAGGTTTTCGAACTTCCTGGTTAATGTTTTAACACTACAGTACATCATATCATTCAAATTATTATGTCATTTAATTTTACCTAGAGAATGAAGATACATGCATGAAATAATCTTTTATAATTTATTTGTGTAGGTTTTTTTAACCACTTAACTTATTTTCTGGCTGCTGGTGCTGTTACTTTGGGAATTGGTTTCTTTGCTTTGGCATCAGCTTTGTGGTTCCTGATTTGCAAACGAAGGTAAGGTTTATTAGAATGTTTAACTTTTTTTCCTTTTAAAAATTCAGTGAAAGACTTTTCCAAATGGTATTAAATAACTATAATAGCACTGATTCTGTAATTTGAGGTTTGGTTATAGACATTTTGATTGGGAAGGGAAAGCTTTACATGTTTAAAATAGCCCAGAAAAACACGTCCTACTAGTATAATAGCCTGAGTACTGTAATAGTAATCTTCATGCATTAAAATTCTAAGAAATAATGAGATATATTTTATTCTCTGGAAGACATGTGTTCAAATCATGTCTAGAAATTTTTAGTTTTTTATTTCTTTTTTTTTTTAAGATTTTACTTATTTATTTGACAGACAGAGATCACAAGTAGGCAGAGAAGCAGGCAGAGAGGGAGAGGAGGAAGCAGGCTCTCTGCTCAGCGGGGAGCCGAATGTGGGGCTCAATCCTAGGACCCTGGGATCATGACCCGAGCCTAAGGCAGAGGCTTTAACCCACTGAGCCACCCAGGTGCCCCATAGTTTTTTATTTCTAATTTAGAGGTTAAAAACATTACTGGGACAAAAAGACTCTCTCTTTTTTTTTTTAGATATTTAAGAGAAGAGCTGACAGAATCCTCTGGTATAATCTAAATGTAGTCTTTTGCCAGAGACAGAAAACCCTAAAATTTGGTGGTTTTGATTATTTTGTTGAGTTGCTTTGTTTGATGTTTAAAAATGTAAATTGTAACACGTTCTTGCACATACTCTTCCAGGATTCCCTATCTTAACCAATGAATACATACTATCTATTCATTTGCATAAGTCAGAAAACTGGAAATTCACTTACTCATTCTTTTAACAAATATTTATTAGTGTCTGCCATTGTTCTTGGTACTATGGATATAACTGTGAATAAGTCAGACAGGGTTTCTGTTTCATAGACTAGCAGTGCCACTGGGAGGAGACAGATAATGAAAAATAAAGTGGCCAGGGAATGTCTCTTTAAGTGAGCAGTATTTAATCTGAGATTGGAGTTAAAAGAAGGAACCAACCATATGAAGACTTTGTTAAAGAGCTCTGTAAGCTGAAGGGATAGCAAATACAAAGACCCCACGTGGAAATGTCCTTGGTATTGTTCAGGAAAGGGAAAAAAGGCTAGTGTATAGACTGTAGTGAGTGAGGGAAATAATGATGAAATTAAAGATGTAGATGGGGGTTAGATCACATAGCATGTTGTGGACTAGAATATGGAGTTTGGATTTTGTTATTTATGCCATTGTAAGGTTTTAAGCAGGAGAATGACTTTATTAGTATAATAATGGCTAACACTGGGGACTTACTACCTAGTGGCCACTGTTCTAAATGCTTTATATGTGATCTCATTTAGAATTCATAACCAGCCCATGAGGTAGCAGTAATGTTATCTCCCTTTTAAGGACACTATAATGTCACCTATAGATAAGATATAGATATAGTGTAACCTATATCTATATGACACTATAATGTCACCTATAGATAAGATAGATATAGATATAGTGTAACCTATGTTACACTTTTATAACACTTTTTAAAATTTGAGATATAATTCACATACAATATAGTACATAGATTTTAAATGTATGATGATGAATTTCAGCATATATATTCCCATATCATCACAACCCCGATCAAGATATACAACTTTCCATCACCTTGGAAAGTTCCCTCATGCTCCTTTCCAGTTGTCACTCCCCACCTCCCACTCAGAGACAGTCATTATTCTGATTTTTATTACCAGAGGTTAATTTTGCCTAGTCTTGAGTTATGTGTAAATGGGATCATATGGACTTTATGTTCGCATTTTTGCCTTAACATAATATTTTTGAGATTCATTCATATCTTTGTATTTATCTGTATTTCATTCTTTTTATTGATGATTTTTATTAATTGTATAAATGCACCTCACTGTATAATGTCCCTGTTAATGGACAATTGGATCATTTCCAGTTTTTAGTTCTTAGGAGTAAGGCTGTTATGAACGTTCTTGTACAATCTTTTTGTACATGTGCTTTCACTTCTCTTGGGTAATACCTAAGAGTAGAATTGCTGGATCATATTCACTTTGTTAGCAAATTGCTTAACAGTCTTCCAAAGTGAGTATATACTTCTACCAGTAATATTTGAGAGTTCTAATTCATATTTTTAAAAGGGTTTTCTTACTTCTCTGTGAAGCCTGTATTTAATTGAGCAAGAGTGAAAGCAGAGCAGGTCAGGAGGCTATTGCATAATCTAGGTCAGAGATGATAGTGTCTTGGACTAAAAGAGATGAAAAGAAGAGGTTGGATTTGAGGTGTGTTTTGCAGGTAAAGTTAAGAGGGCTTGTTTGGTGGATTGAATGAGGTAAGGAAAGATAAATGAAATGGAGAGTTAATGCCAACACCTACCTTTTTACCATGAGCAATCGAGTAGTTGATCATGTCAATTACTGAGATGGGAATATGATTAGAGAGGGGAGCAAGTTGAAGGAATAGTGATAAACTAGGAGTTACATTTTGGAAAGTGTTTTGGATATCCATTAGAAATGTCAAATACTCAGATATACATGTAGGAAGTTCAGAAGAGAATTCAAGCCTGAAGATTTAGGGTATCAATGTATAGAGGATATCTAAGGTCATTAGAACTGGGTGAGACTAACCAGGGAGTGATTTTTGGAAGAAAAAACCTAGGACTACGCCCTTCAGCCCACCAACATTTAGAAATCTAGCAAAAGAATAGGAAGAATCATCTGAAAAGGAAGAACAGAAGGGTACGCTGTTAAGGAAATCAAAATTAGAAAATGTTTCAGTGGTGCTGGGAAGATGGCAGAGGAGGAGGGCCCTAGGCTCACCCTGTCCCATGTTTACAACTGGATATCATTCACATCCAAGTCAATAAACTGAGAGTGATCCTAAGACTGGCAGAACAAACTCTACAACTAAATGTAGAGAAAAAGCTGCATGAGAGAGTTTAGGAAGAGCAGACACTGTGGTCAGGAGCTACCCACAGGAGGGAGAGAGCTGCAGACTTGGAGAGGGAAAAACACCAGGAAGCCAACACAGAGGAAATGAATCCCCATAACGTCTGGCCTTGAAAACCAAAGGGGCTGAATTCTGTGAGTTTGTATAACCAGCAGGACTTGGAGCCCAGAGTTTTAAAAGTCAGAGGGCTAGTGATAGCCCATAAAGAGTCCCCACCCTTAAAGAGACAAGGGCCCAAGGAAAGACAACATAGAAGTGACAGCTTGCAGATCGGAGGGAAATCTGTTTATACCAATTTCAGAGAGTGTTGGGGGATTTCTCTGGGAATGAAGGAGCTGGCAGTTGCCATTTTCTTCTCCTGCCCCCTCACATAAACACAGAGTCACCTGTAGGAGGTGGTGCTGCACAGGCACTTGCTACTTAACCTGTTGGTACTGAGCCCTGCCAACAAGTTCTCCTGAGCACTTGCCAACTCCAAGCTTGCTGATCTCAGCTCCAGCTCAGTGTAATTTTTGTTAACACTGTGCATGTTGCACCCACCCATGCCTCTACATGCTATGCGCCCATGGCCATCACACTTTGGGGGATCCAGCTTCAAACTAGTGGGTCAATGCAAAGTTTACTAACACTGCATATGCCATGCCCAGCCACCAAGTGCCCCGGGTGGCCACCACCACCATCCTCAGTCCCTGTACCCCCAATAGCCACTTGGCTGTGGGAGGTCTGGCCTGGGACTAGGGGTTCAGTGCAAATTTTGCTAACATCAAAAGTTGCCCCAAGCCTTTCTGCTAGCACAGAGATCCCACAACAAATTCAACTCAAGAAGCAAGAAGATCCACACCAAGACACTTAGTAATTAAAAAGGCAAAAAATAGTGATAGAGAATTTTAAAGGTAGCAAGAGAAAAGAAGACAGCTACATACAAAGGAAACCCCAAAAAGTTATCAGCTGATTATTTAGCAGAAACTTTGTAAGTTGAAAGAGGATAGCATAATGTATTCAAAGTGCTGAAAGGGAAAATTCTGCAGCCAAGAATGCTTTACCCAGCAAGGCTATCATTCAGAATAGAAAGAGAGATAAAGAGTTTCCCAAACAAAAGTTAAAAGAACTCATGGCCACTAAACCAGCCCTACAAGAAATGTTAAGGGGGAATCTGAGTGGAAAACAAAAACCATAAGTAAGAATAAGAAAAGTGAGAATCACGAAATAAAAAGATGTAACAAAACACGCCAAATATCTGAAATGTAGAAGGAGGAGAAGTAAAAAATGAATTTAAAAACAAGCGACCATCAGCTTAACATAGACTGCTTTATGCAAAAGATGTTATGTATAAACCTAATGGTAACTACAAATCAAAAAACAGTAGTAGATATGCAAAAAAAAAAAGTATGGAACCCAAAGATATCACTAACTGCCCCCCAGCAAACCATGAAAGAGAGAAAGAAAAGAATCAGAAAAAAATTACAAAAACAACCACAAAAAAGTAACAAAATGACAATAAATACTTATCAATAGTTACTTTGAATGCAAAGGGACTAACTGCTCCAATCAAAAGATATAGGGTGAAAGAGTTTATAAAAAAAACAAGACCCAATTATAGGCTTCCTACAAGAGATTTATTACAGGCCTAAAGACACCTGTAGATTTGAAGTGTGGAGATGGAGAAACATTCATCATGCAAGTGGATGTCAAAAGAAAGCCAGAGTAGCAATACTTACGTTGGACAAACAGACTCTAAAATAAAGTCTGTAAAAAGAGGCAAAGAAGGACACTATATAATAATAAACAGAACCCAACAAGAATATATAGCAATTGTAAATATTTTTTATGCACCCAACATGGGAGTACCCAAATACACAAAACAGTTAATAACAAACATAAAGGAAATATTCAATAGGAATACACCAATAGTAGGGGACTTTAGCTTCCATTTACATCAATGAACAGATCATTCAAATAGAAAATCAATGATGAAACTAACTTTGAATGATACACTGGACCAGATGGATTTAATGGATATATTCAAAACATTCC